ATTATTTTTTTTATATTAACATTTTGAGCTAATGCTATTAAATCACACCATTAGCATTATACGATTGTGACATGTGTCAAAATTTTTTTATGAATTTAGTAAATAAATTTTGAAAAATAAAATAAAAGAAATGAACCGATAGAAATTCTTTAACCTTTTTTTTTTTCATTTTTACTGTTCAAAATTCAATGTAGCTATAAATTTGCTACCTAAAATACATTTTTCCCGTATTTTGATAAATGAATTTTGAAAAAAAAATTGAAAAAGATTTCTAGCTCTTTTTTTTTTCAGTTTTTCTAGCTGCTTTTTTTTTTCCAAACTTTATTTAAAACCAGCTAGAAATTCGCTATTTTAAATTCATTTTTTTTTCTCAAATTTTAATATATGAACTTTTTTTTTTCAAATTTATTTATAAAAATTTGGTAAAAAATGATAAAAATGAAATAAAAAATAAAGAAGCTCCTGCAACTATTAACCTTCTAAAAAAATATATTACTTTAGTTTTGTACGTGACTGATTAACCATTAAACAACGTGTGTGTGTATATATCATGCCCTTTGAGCACATTTAACCCTGCTCTGCGTGATTGTAATTTATGTAGTTATATTGCTTTCAACGAATTTTATTTCCATGGCCTTTTCCTAATGCTTTCAATAGCAAAAGTCATGCTCATGTCATATTTGGCTTCTTTTTACTTCCACATATGTTTATTTCTTAGAAATTTACGTCTCACATCCGAACTTGAGATTTAATTCCTAAGTACCACTTGATGAAAGATTAAGTTTTTTCAACTGTTAGATCCATCTTAGATTTAATATGATTAATTAAGCATCAAAACAAAGAGAGATAGTTGGTATCTATTTTTAGTCTAATTAGTGAGGTTTTTTATAAATCATTCATCCACGACGTCACTGAGAGTTTAAATTTCATATAACTCATCTTTCAATTGATGATATATTTATATTTCAACACATTATCGTAGTTATTTTTGAAAAAACAAGCTAAGTTTTAGTTACTATATAGATGCAATAAAGATCTTTTTAGATAAAAATGAAGGAATATTGTTGTAATGTTTATTGTTGGAATGTGTATAATAAGCTACCTATTTTTATATTTTTTGAAAAAAATATTAATCTGATGAACTGGTGCAACCATCTTAGTTTTTTTTTTTTTTTTTTAGCACAATTTGTAATTATTGTGAAAGTCGCTTTACTCACCCAATTCTTGTTAAAGTGCGGTCGGTCACATGAAAAATATTAAATTTAGAAGTTGCAAGCTAGAAAGCTTTTAGGAAAGGGAAAGGATAGAAATCCAGATTAAAAATAATAATAATAATTACTGTATAAGCTATTAAAATATTTTTTAATAGCACAAGACATTAGTTATCAGACATGGCCCATGGAACACTGTATTTTAGGTCCACAGGCCACCATAGAATTCAGAAGTCAAAACACCAATCCCAAAATAAAAAAATAAATTACCAGTAAAGCATGTTTTAAAAATAATAAAATAATATGTATAACAAAACGTTTTTATAGGCAAACAGATAAATCCTACAGTTCATGCCCTTTTCGGGACCAAATTACAAGTGTAACTTTTTGTAGTTTCTTTCCAAAAAGATTAAATTGCAATTTAGTCATAATGTTTTTTTAATAACTAGTATGTAAAGTCCCATATAAATCCCCCTGGACTTTACACAAGGATCATTCGAATTATCGAGAAATTTTATATTACACAAAGAATAATTAGTGATATGTGCGGTAGTTATTTTACGGACTCACTTTGAGAAGAGAAATATACACATTAAATTACATATGGACCCACAAAAAATGATAAAAAGATTTTCAAATTTGCTCAATTTTTTTTTTAATTTTCTCTCTTCTATTTCTCTCTCCTTTTTTGTGTCTATTTGTCTCCTCGAAGTGGGTTCATGAAGTAACTATTGTACATGTCACTAGTTACTTCTTATGTATTATAAAATTTCTCGAGGGTTATCCATCCCACAAATGTCATCCAACAAAATCAAATTAATATCCTAAAAGGGTTGCCATGAAATAAGTGACATCTAGCAATCAAGAGTGAGAATTTGATTTTTCTGAAAAAGAATCATCTATGATCATGTCCACATCAAGACAAGAAGCTTCTTCTTTCTCTACTAAGTGACAATCCGCATCTCAAGTTAAATGTAAACCCACAAGTATTCCTCAAAGCTCGCTTTTAGGACTAAATATGATGAGATCTTAATCCTTAGATTGTATGAATGATTGAATGTTGTTTTTCATTAGCTAATCGTAAGGTGGAGATTGTCCTTGTATTGTTGATCTATGACAAATATTTGCAAAACAAGTCATTTTTTTTAGTATTTAGAGAATATTCGATGGTTAACTTAGCATATGAAGAAAAATGTTTACCTTGAATAGTTTTAGTAGTATATTTTTAGGAGTTTTGCTTGAATAGCCTTAGCACTATATTTTGCTTTAATTGGAGAAGATGTACGGTACTATTTTGAATGTGTGATGGGTGTAGAAGATAGAACCTAACTTTAACATGTGTTATGTTAACTTTTATATAATGGTAGGGATGATCAATTTTTACATAAGGTTGAGGTCATATATATATATATATATATATATATATGTTCTCCTAAAGAGTCTTTTCCTTGGCGTTCAATAAACTTTGATCGAGACTTCGTAAGTTGAAAATCCTCTTAGGTGAATGTCTTATGGATACCGACACAATTGGCATCATTTATGACGTCTTTCATTTAAATCGTTTTTTATATTTCTTACTAGTTGTCATTACTCAACATATGAGACCTCCTAATTAAAAAGAGTTAAAAGATGAGGAGTCCGACATAGGAGTGTCTCCTCCTTCATTATGGCCGAAAGTTTGTGGGCTCCTATCCTTTAATTTTTCTAGTTTATTTATTCAATGCTCAAATGAATTAGATTTTTATTGTTTGGGTTTTATTTTTAGGTATTGGATTTGGGTTAAATTATTAAGTCCTCATTGATTAATTATTTCCTAAAGTTTAGGGAGGTGGTCGGTCATGGAAGGATTGAGAATTTTTTTTGTTTTGTTGATTCCTATCTTTTAGAGAAAAATTTTTAACGAGTCCTTGTAATACGTGGATCCATATTTAATTGGGCTAAATAAAAATAAGTCCTAATTAAGTGTGGATTTCATAAGTCCATTTTATTTTAGGAGAGTGAAGTTCAGTCTTTGGTAGCAAAAATTTTGCTCTAGCCAAAACTCCTAGAGTTAGGGGTGAGTATTTATACAACTTTCGTGCATCTTTGTAAGGATTTTTGACTGAAATATTTAGAAGGCTATCTACGGACTTTAGAAGTAAAAAAAAATCAGAATTATTTTTTTCAAACATTCAAAGTATTTCTTTAGCTTGGACTAGACTAGAATTTCTTGGAGCATATCCTTAAAGTGATTGACTAAGGTGTGTTTAGATCATTGCATGCAAGAACTTGGGATTGTAGTTTCAAGACTTTTGGCATGTTATCCTATAAGTTCCTTTTACTCTTCCTTGATTTGAGAACTTGGATTGGTTCTAGAATTGATTAATCAGACTTGTATGATTTTACAATAATGGTAGTTTGACTTGCATAAATTAGTTAAAATAATTTCTAGAAGTTGCTCTTGACATACCTTACGTTGGAGGGGCTACAATTATCTTTTAGCACTAAAATTTTGTAGAAACTCTCTACTAGACCTCATGTGGTTGTGTATAAAAATTGGGATATTTTAGACTTAATTTGAGGGTGTACTAATTTAAACACCTTACTATAATTTTAGATAGTGCATAAATAAATTTGGATATAGAAATTCTTCTGACCTAATTAAATCCTTAAGGAACTTAGTTTGATATGAAATTTTGCATACTTTTATTAATATATGTTAGGTAGATGGTTGTAAATTTTCAGCTTGTTTGAATAAGTATAACTTAGGGAACACCTCAATCCTAATCGGATTGGTTGGGTGACCTATTTGATAAATTTGTTTTGTATTTGAATTGATTAGGAATTTGGTTATCTATGAACTTACAACATTATTTATTATTGAGGTAGAAAAGCCTATTGAAGATTCTATCTTGTGATTGTTGATTGAGCTTATGTAGGATTTTAAGGCATCACGTTATTTCAAGCATCGGTTTGGTATTACGGTTTAGTTTCGTCTTTCCTATCGTGTGATTGGTTGATTGAATGATATCTCCTATTGTGAGAGAATCAATGGTTGTTCGAAGGGTGTTTAAGCAATATGGTTACACCTAAAGAAGATTGGATTAGATTAAATATTTTTCATAAGCAATGCACTTTGCAAGGGAAAATATGTGATTTAATTATTGATAAGGGTAGTTAAAAAAAACATGGTGGCTTCATAGATGGTGGAAAAGTTGTATTTAACTACCATACCTCATCCCGATTTGTATACTCTCACATGGTTATAGAAAGATAATGACATTCATGGGAACAAAAAACGTTTAATGCTATTTTTTATTAGAAAGAGGTATGCCAATCAAGTTTGGTAGTTATTCCAATGGATGTATGTCATGTGTTGCTAGAGAGGTTATGGTAGCATGACCATCAAGTCATGCATGATGGATTCAAGAATACATATGCTTTTTCATTCAAATGGAGAAGATTATCTTGATGCCTTTAAAGAAAGAGGTTTCCATTAAGTTGCATCGGCATCAATCTGTTATCTTTGACCAAGTTTTTAAGAGTTTTGTTTTAGAATTTATGATGCTACTAACGAGTTAATGGTGGTGGTTTAGGATATTTGTTAGTCATGCAAACATGTCTATACATGCTTGCTTTTATTTCTGAAATTTTGTTATGTTTTTATGTATTTAAGAAGTTGATAAAGCAATGAAATAAAAGCAAGATTTTACAAGCATATCTAACATTTCATTGTTCTTGCTTTCTTTGATTACTTGTTTTTTTTTTTTTATTAAGTTCAACAAGGACTTTTAGTCCACCGGACATCTTTTATTCCACATCTTCTACTTGAATGGAACCAAGAATAGGCTTGTCCAAATCAATATCAATAGCAACTCTAACAACCTTCATAGTATGAAGAATTTTGGAATGGCATTGGTATACGGGGTAAAGAAGGAAAGCCAACCTAAACCACCTCTCTTGTGATGTGCCTCTCGTTAAGCATGGTTTTAAAAAATGATTGTTACGTCGTATAACGGTCGTTATATAACGATAACGGGGCAATCCGTTATCATTTTTCAACGTTATAACGGTCTCAACGCCATTTCACACCTATAACGACAAATAACGGCGTTACCATTATGTAATGCCGTTATTAGCCATTATATAACGGCGTTATATATAAAAAATTTAAATTATTGAAAAAAAAGCCCGAAATGCAATTGAACATTTTTTTATCTTCTTTTGCTTTATTTCTCTCGTACTTACTAATGAAAGGAGAGATATTTTTTTTGCCTTTTTTTGCTTTCTTTCTCCTGTAATTACTGAAATTATAATGTCTTTTATTATTTTTCATGTGATATTAATCTATTGAAAGTGTTATTAATTACCTTTTATAATAAATTTAACTATTGTTATACGTTATTAAACTATTAGAGATATGATTACTTATTATTATGTTTAATTAGTAAAGCTGTCAAAAAATATGAATTAGAATAAATTTATTAGCAGTTTCTAATGTATTCGGATAATTAATCGTCACGATCATTATTTTACGACCGCAATGACCTACGACATAATAACGGATTGCCCATTCATAAGCTACAGCTTGTTCAGAAAGTTGCCCGTGTACCATAAAATCTTTGTAACTTTGCTTTTGTCCTCGCATAGTAACATCCACTTTTTCGTTGGCAGAGGACTCCTTTTCATGCCCTTTCATCTTTTTAGTGGATCTGTTAGTTGAACTCTGGTTAGGGTTGGGGTTGTCTGCCTCTCCAGTGGGTAGAGAACTTTGGGAACGTTGGTTTTCCATTGTTTTTATAATTTTGTTACTCCTTTTAGTTTTGAAAATCATTAACTAGAGTTACTTGTTAATCTTTTTTTCTAAAAAAAAAAATATCAAAATTGCCTTTTCAGTTCTTTGTTTACAGTAGAGAGCATTTCTTTAATGCAGTTTACATAACAATTACAATGTAATGAAAAACTAACAAAAGAACTCAGTTACAAACAAATATAAAAATACACAGTGATTCAATATTAGATATTTTAAGCTGAAAAGATTAACCACTTATTTTATTAAACACAAGGACTAAATAATAATTTACTCTCTTAGAAAATTGTTGACAGAATTTCACAAAATTGCCAAGGAAAGGGATTACCTTTAATACTCATATCTAATGTAACAATATACTTCCTTTTTTATTTTGTTCTTGAACAAACTGAATATAATCTTACACCTCGCCATGCCCCCATGAATGACTAGCTATTGATACCAGAGAAAACAGAGAATATTGAAACTTGAGCGTCAAAGGACCTGTGGTGGCATTATGCATTAATGTAGGAAAAAAAATTAAAAATAATATTAGTGTTTTGGCTAGACCAATCAAAGGATTCAAGCAAGATGGAGATTATGGCTTATCAAATGAACGCAAGGATTCACACGGATTTTCTATCAGAAAAACAGTTAATATACAGATTAGACTTTTTTTTTTTTTTGCTGCTTTTGAACGGGTAAATGGAATACAATTTTTGAACGCTTTTATTTATCATGGAGAAAAAGCAGTGATAGGAAAGTTACAGAAGAGACTCCATCTAAACGTCGAAGGCTCCCTTAATACCAGAGAGGGACTCTCCTATTGATTTCCTGCCAAAAGAAAAAAAAATTGAAAATTACATAATCTAACTTATAAATAACAATTCGGAAATCAATATAATTTTGAGGATGATATGAAATTTTAAAATGTAGGAAATGAAACAGACGAAATGTCTCAAGTTCGAGTTCCATATGACAGCAATGATAATTGCAAATCAAGAACCAGACAACAACTTGAGGATATATGTGATGAGCAGTTGGGAAATAAGCAGAAATAAGCAGCTAGTTTCTAAAAAAGTCGAGAAAAGAGTCCCAGGAGAAGTAGAAGAAGAAATAAGATTCTGCATAGGAGGCATATAAATTAAGTGCTAGTCATAAACAAGGAATCATAATAGGGCATTTTAGTATTATAAAAATGAAGTGGCAAGGACACCGTATTACTGAAAAATATGATCATAGAACCGGAAATAACCTTTCAAGACTCTTGGTAGGATAGCATTATTGTTGAAGTTTCTTCAAATCATAATAGTGTGAAAATTTTGTTACTGATCCACATAATTGCACCACAAGTTTTCAAACAAACAATACCGTGAGTCAGTATGGAGATTATATCAAATAGAGAAGAACAGCAATTGAGCAACTATGATTGTGACCTCGAGTTTGTAAGGTAGAGAAACAAAGGTGCCCAACTTCACTCTATAGTAATTAGGAGCACGCTCTTGGTTCCACCAAAGGTAAGAATTTCAATTATTAAATTGACTCCTGTTATTTGTGGAAAAATGAGCAAAACCCTCTTCACAAAACCAGCTAATAAGTTTTTAAAAACCTCTTTGCAGTCTCTCCCCAGTTTCCATCCTCTCTTTATATACAAATGTGTGATGACCTTAAATGGAGTACTGTATGACAGTGGTGTCTCCAAACTAAGTAATGGTTCTGAAAGAGGTCCAGAAATCAGGAAATTGTATAACAAGAATTGAGAATGTAAATCCTCTGGGAACTAGCCAATAACATGATGCCATGACAGCAACAAAAAATAAGAGAAAAGATTGATTACACAAACCAAGAATCAGGAACAAAAAATAAAATATAAAAGAAACCTCATAGTTGAATGAAATTACAGCACCGACATTGTTCGTGATATTTTGTATCATGAAATTTTTTCTGTGTAGCAGTAATCTGAAAATAATATGGATACGATTTGGCCAAACACAAGCAAGAAATTTGAGAACCAAATGAAATACTTCACATCTTGAAATCCATATCACTATATTCAATAACAAAGCCCCACCCTACTGCCCTGTCATGAAAGTAAATCTATTATTTTTAACAAAATGTGAGATACATTTTTTATCAAGTGTATCATAAAGAATAAAACATTTTGTCAATCAATTATTTATAACAAAATCTGTTATACATAAACCAAACTATGTCTTCCAATGTTGTGAATGCTGCAAGTTGAAAACTTTTTTTGGCATGTACTTGTATTCTAGATCAGATTAACTAGATCGTAACACAGAATCACACACAATTAAAGGCCACACACCACGTTGTAAAATGAGCCAAGAAAAACTCCGGAATAGATGAGAATAACAATCTAATATCTTGCACTCAAAGGATCTTCAGCAATATCCTAGTATATTTCATTTCAAATGCTGCATACAAGGACAGCAATCTCTAGTTTGACAAAGCAAGTACCTCACAGCAGCTAACTAAGTATTTGAGCATAAAAGTTAGAACAAGCCAATTCTGTGACAAAGCTGGCAAAAACTTATGAGAATGAACAAATAAGAAAATCCACCCACAGCAAGCGACTCTGATTACCACTCAGTCGCAAACCAAAACAACGCAGATCAGAAATTCAACGTGAGATTAAAGTTTCATTGTACATTCTTCTCCAGCCAAGATATGTACCAAGGAGATCATCTGTTTTTCATGCTTTGCCTTCTCGATTCCTCAAACAGCTTGTAAACATGACAGCCAACTATTTTGTCCTAGCTAATAACTCAGCAGCACTGGCTTCTTTACCGTCATTAGTGTGAGATAATCTAGTGAAAGTCATCAAGAACACCTACTCTAAGTACCTTCTTTTCGAAAAGAAAAAATTAAAAAACTATCTTCTTCAACTCTCCAGAGCAACAAATTTCTCCTCAGATCCTCAAAAACACTTCCATGAAGGCATTAAATACCCTACTAAACAGGATACCAAGGTCCAAGAATACATTCCTTAACCAAATTCATTCCATTCCACTTAGGAAACGGTCTTCAGGCTAACTTCTAAATTCAACTACAGCACAACACAGCATAACTCATCCAATTATCAATACCAATGACAAAGTCATAAGTTAAAGGCTACACTTGCATACATATAACGTTTAACAAACTTAAAAAGATAGTATGTCTCATGATGTTGGTTATTTTTTGAAGAAGAGGGGAGAATATGAGCAGAGGTGGAGTTCACTAAAACCCAAATAGAAAATGGCTAGAAAATTAACTAGCACTATATACACCAAGAAACAAGCAGATACCTCCACATGTTTGCATACTGATAAAATAATCAACCCTCTCCCTCCCCTTCTCATGCTACATCCCATTTGCATAAACTTACATTTCTTGTTCCTTGAGTAGGTCATAAAGGTGAAAATATGGCGGGAATGGTCAATGCATTCCTCTTTCAGAAGGCTGAATGTCGCTGAATAGTCAATTGGATAAGCTTTTGAACTTCATGGGGCTGAAAATTAGTATATCATACTACTAGGAACTCAAAGTGTGGATTGTCCAATGGCCACTGGGCTTTTAACTTTTAGAGGGGAATGATTAGATGATTAATCATTAAGAACGTCAAATACTTTTCCTCATTTGGCTCGGTGAACTTTAAAAACTGACTAAGCTAATTCCTTTTGTTGGTCAGCTTGGCCCCAGGAAAAGTTGCACAAATTGGCATTATTCTACATCCATGTTTCTTGGTAGACAACAATCCATTAGTGAATTATTGTCCCTTCTTTGCCCTTAACTTAAAATTATCTTCTACCCAGTGCAATACTTATTCCTAATTCACACATACACACATATATATAAAACATCCACAGTATTCTTTTTTCCATAATGAAGCCCATTCATCCCTATGCTCTTTCTCCAATCATCAAACACACTCATTTATGATCACATTAAAGACATGTTTCTTCTTGATAGGCCTAAAATTTCATCCCACATAAGCATCTTGTATAATATCAGCCTAATTTTAGAGTTGTTCATCAAGTACAGAACATTATCAGGCTACCAGACACTTATTCGCACCAGAAATTATGTTATACAACACATAAACCTAATCAAAAACACCAAACGCACTCAAAAGACTGTTCATTGAAGAGGTGATTCATAAAAGCATTTTGCTTCACCACAACCAAATTTTATCTCCACAATGAAGTTCATGCCATTGCAGTATTTTAATTATTTATAACCTAGAGATTCAACATCCAACTACGATAACATGTAAAATTCCCGAAATCACAGCATAATTCAGGATATTACATATCAAAGATTCTCAAAGCAGCTGCATTACTACTAAAACCATAAAAAGTTGTCGAACTTACTTGTACATACAGTACTTGTACTCTTGACTTCTAGTGAGATCTTTCTCTCCTTCTTCAAGCTAAAACACAAAGTAGTTCAAAAATATGAACTTCCAAACCAATCAAACCCACCAAAAGAAATCCTCATTCAAACTTGACTTACCGGATCACTCTCATATATAAGCTCATAACAAACTGGAGAAAGACACTTCAAAGCGCAATTCTCCTTAGCTGTCATCGAATTTTTGCATTGTTGACCCCACAGTCCACTGTTACCATCAACAAATCACAACCCATCAAAGAAAGCACACAGATAAAAGTTTGTACCATTAATATCCTAATAGATTCACGCAAATAAATTTTCTCAAGAACCAAACAGATGGCTAAGAGAAAGAAAAGATGTATAAAAAAATTTTCTTTTCTTTTTTACTTTACCTCTCTATATCAGCATAGCACTCATTCTTAATTTGCCTGATCTCAGCATCCTGTAATTTCAAAAAAAAAAAAAAAAAAGATCAAAACAACAAAAACTGTATTAAAGAAGCGAATGAAAAGAGAAAGATAGAAAAATTGGGTTTACAGTAATTGGTCTACGAGACTTGGAGAGGACTGAAGGAGCATTGATAAATATTAGTAAGAAAAGGGTAAAGA